TATTCTTTATTGATCAAACCTAAGGGAGATGTTAGGCAACATGAAGACTCAGGGTTCTACAAGTTCTCATAAAAAGAGCCCTCCAAGGTCATCTTTGTTTCAGGGTCATTTTAAATGCCCAATTAAAAGGAAGACCTTGCTCTTATGGTGAATATACAGAAGATTTTCTGATACAGAAAAGCAATCACTCACTCATAACTCCAAATAGAGTTTATCCCTTCATGAATTGTGAAGACTTTCATTTATGAAAGAACTAGACCTGTCACGCCCAGGCCAGATGACTAGCAAAATATATTAATGTACCGTCTGTGTTTTGAGGTTGTGGTCTTCATGCTGGAATTTATACCAAATGGATTTCAAGATAGAAGCAAAGGGGGTGACCCCAATTCCTGTCCCAACCAGCATAGCCACTTCATACTGGAAAACATCCTCACTAACTGTGCCAAAAGGACCATCCACCGCGATCCTAGCAGAAGACAAAAGAGAGCAGACAATTGAAATCTCACCTCTACTCTAACCTCAGACTTCCTTCCAGAAACATAATAATTCCCATAGCTGACTTATATCTGTTTATTTTAGTTATAATCTATGTCATCAAATTTGAGCCTCAAAAAAGGAGTATTTTCCTTTTCCTATCATTCTTTATCTTGGTCTGAATCCCTACTGGTCTTAAGGACTTACCTGGGAACTAGTGAATGCTGCTGTTCAAATGCTCTTACGAGATTTTCTGTCCAGTCCCCTGCTACTCGGACATGAATAGAGAAGAAATCTTCCTCTGGAGCAGAGGTCAGAGTAAAGGGATGCCACTCCAGGTGAGAGATTGAAGGGCACTTAACAAAGATATATTGTCCTACTTCCATTCTAAAGCCTGGCTTGGTCATCTGTAACTCCAAAACTCTGGATGGGTGCATGATGACCTGTGAATGAAGTACATAGACCAAAGGAGACAACTCAAATGGTAGCAAGAACAGGCATTTAAAATAAATGAGTATTCAATCCCTGGTACTGTAAAAAATAAGAAAAATAAATGAGTAAAGTTGGAGGGCTAGTGACAGTGGTAAACTGACACCAAGTCCTTTCTAAAGGGTCCAGCAGCACTTAGCTTCAGACAATGGTTGGGATATGGAACTGTGACTGCAACCAGGTTTCATAATTTTTCAAGAAAAGTAAGATATTTCTTCTTTTAAAAGTGTGAAAATTTCTTCATATCTTAAAATATTTTAAACCAGTTCAACTTTATTTTTCTGTTTTGGATATAGAACCCAAGACCTGGTGCATGGTGGGCACAAGTGTATTCCCAAACCCAGTCAAACTTTTTAAAGAAACATTGTGCAGGCTAAACAAAATATGTCCATCTAAGCCACCATGAAAAGCTAGATAATAGATGATAGAAAGAAAGATATAGATAGATAGATGATAGATAGATAGATAGATAGATAGATAGATAGATAGATAAGATAGATAAGATAGATAGATTTTTTTTGGGGGGGTTGGCTTAGGCTGCCTTAAGGGCGGGTCTGGTAAGGTATGGGGAGCTGCGATTGAACCGTGGTCCCCTACACCTGACTAGGCTTGCCCTTGCTGGCACTTAAACAACTAAGCTAACCCACAGGGCCCCCAGATAGATAGATAGATAGATAGATAGATAGATAGATAGATAGATAGATAGATAGATAGATAGAAGATATCAGTATCCATGGACTAGACCTGCCCCCATCCACTTGTTTACATTCCCCTACATGGAACCATCCAGGTGATTTCTGCAAATGCCTTTTTCTCATACTTCTGTTCAGCACCAAAGAAACTAAAGCATGCTACCTCCCAAGTTTCTTTTATTCCTTTCAGGGTAACCATGACCATTTGATTCTGTACTGAGGTAGAACAAAAGTTTTATCACAACAAGAGGAAAATGCAAGTTTCTTTACCTTGTTAATCACAATGCTCTGCTGGGAGCGAAGAAATCGGAGGGCCTTTTCAAAGGCATATAGAATCACTGGTGCAAGGATCCACTTCCAAGACTGCACAGAGAAGTAAGGAATGAGGTTACCCATGAATATACGCACACAGATATATTTAAAAA